GGCTGCAGGTTTGAAGCAGCCCATCACATTCCAACCGAGGTTGGAGAGAAGAAAGGGGTGAATGAACGTGATGGGATCAGCACCCTCAACTTCCCGCTGCTGTACTTCTCTGCAATGATGGGCCTGGAACTGTGTGTGAGCCAAAATAAAATCTCCCTTAAATCGCTTTTGTTCCAGCGACACAAAAAGAAACTTAGGACAGAAGTAGGTGTGCCCTAAGGAAGCTAACAGCAGCATGAAGTATTACAAATGTTCGATGATGTGTGTGTGTGTGTGTGTGTGTGTGTGTGTGTGTGTGTGTGTGTGTGTGAGAACACAACCCTATTACAGGGTTACATTTAGTAAATGTGGCAAAGATAGTTCAGAAACAATTTTCTGATTACTTCCGTGCTAAGCATTAAGGACATAAGGATGAGAAATGGCTGTTGCCCTCAAGGAGTTTGTAATCTAGGAGGAAGAAATCGATAAAAATAATGTCATTACTCCTCAGGATGAAGCAGGGGGAAGAAAAGGGGGAAAGAACTAATCTGACTATGGGGTTCAGAGTTGGGTCCTTGGGAGGTGATCTGGATTAGACAAGGTCATTGGGGAGAGCCCCCATGATTGGATCCAGGAGGCTTTATAAGAAGCACAAGAGACCAGAAGAAGCACAGATCTACATACATGGCCCTAGTATGTTATTATATATATGTGCACTGTCCTGTACCTCCTTAGAATTCTGCCAATTAGAGTCCATTAACAAGCTGGACATGGTAGCACACGTCTTTAATCCCAGTACTAGGGAGGCAGAGGCCAGCAGATCTACAGAGTGAGCTCCAGGACAGCCATGGCTACACAGAAAAACCCTGTCAAAAAAAAAAAAAGAAGGCGGCCACTGTGAGGTTTAGAACTGTGACTTGCATGTTTAGAAGCACAAGGCAAAATAAATTCCTTTTCTTTATAACTCATCCAATCTGATATGGTGTTATTGGTAAAAGAAAATGATCCAACATGTGTGGCATTGCTTTCATAGAGATGCTAGTCACGTGGCATCAGTTTAGTTCCCATGGACCACTTCCCCGAGCAAACACTGAGTTCATGCTATGAACCGGGCATTGCACCACCACTAAGCATTCAGAGATTGCTGATGGACAATACACCTGAATACATCTGATATCATTTCCTTCAGATTATTATTATTATTGTTGTTGTTGTTGTTACTTTATTTTTTTGAGACAGGGTTTCTCTGTGTAGTCCTGGCTGTCCTAGAACTCACTCTGTAGACTAGGCTGGCCTCAAACTCACAGAGATCCACCAGCCTCTCCCTCTTGAGTGCTGGGATTAAAGGCATGTGCCACAAACGCCCAGCCCTTCAGATTATTTTTAGGATATAAATAATTATATTGTTCTTCCAAAATGAGTTAATAATACTAGAGTGACTGAAATTCATCTCAGTTATAAAATTAATATTAATTAAAAAAAGTTTTTCCTGTGCAAAGAAACAACTTAAGACCTCATATGTGCTAATCACTAGCTCTAGCATGAACTTACATCATCAGACCCAAGGAAATTTTTTAATACCTGTCATTTTTATTCTTATTTAAAAGAATCAGGGTCTGGAGAGATGGCTCAGAGGTTAAGAGCACTGACTGCTCTTCCAGAGGTCCTGAGTTCAATTCCCAGCAACCACATGGTGGCTCACAACCATCTGTAATGAGGTCTAGTGCCCTCTTCTGGCCTGCAGTCATACATGCTGTATACATAATAAATAAATAAATCTTTTAAAAAAAAAACATAAAAGAATCATTAAAGCCAGGTGGGATAAACCATGCCTATAATCCCAGCACTTAGGAGACTGATGCAGAAGGATTGCCACAAATTGGAAGCTGGCTAGGGGCTACACTCTCAAATTCTGCCTCCCCTCTCCAAAAACAAATAACCCTCAAAACATAAATAAATTTTAAAAAGCATCATTAAGCTTTAATAGTATTTTAAGTATAAATAAGCCAAAAACTAGAATGGCCAAAGCAGACAACGTACGATTTGGGCACAAGCCTTTCTTTTATAAAAATCAACATCCAAGCCAATGTCTTTGAGATCTTCCATTTGTTTTCCAAGGATACAATTGCACATTACAGTGGGACAGACCAGATTTTCATGTCCTGTCTCCAAAGTACTTACGGGTTATTAACTGAGTGTTTGTGATTTTTCCATCCAATTTTTGCAAAGTGTTCAACTTTTGTTCCTGCAGAGAAAGCAAACATCAATCAATGTGCTGTTTTCTTCGGTTCATTATCAAATGTCACAGCGGAACTCAGTGTTTTGCTAAATATTTCCATAGTTTCTCTTGCACTGCTATCAGGGTTAAAGACAGCAATCACTCATATGATTTGTTACAATTAAATCCAAGCATCACACGAATTGAATCAAGAGACACATGAGATAAAAACAGTTCAAATCTATTTAGTATAATTAAGATTCAGTTTCAAAAACTAGAAAATACAGTCTGGAGCCACAGTGCTTAGCTGGAAAGTTTTGCCAGCAGTGACCCAGTGCCTGCCAGACATTCCCAAGCCCCAGAGTGAGTAGGTGTACAAGTCACATCCTCCATGGCCTGATAAACAACCCCACAACTTCCCTTTATGATACAGCAGAAGGGTCTTTAGAAAAGTTACAGCCAGTGAATTATACACACTTTGCAGATCTTTTTTGGTTTGTTTGTTTGTTCTGTGTTTTGAGACATGGTCTCACTGTTTAGCCGTTAGCTGGCCTGGAACTCAATATGATGAGTATGACAGCCTGGAATGTACAGAGATCTGCCTATATCTGCCTCCAGAGTGCTAGGATTAAAGGCATGTGCCACCACGTCTGGCTCCCAGTTCTACTTTTAACCCCAAATAACCTGGGCAAAGGACACAGTGGAATATGTTCTATTCTGAGGTTCTACTTAACTACAGACTAGGTGAACTTTAACGGTGTGGTATACCAGAGATCTGTGGCCACAGTATAGGACTTACATTGTTCCAGGAGTGGTGCCAAACACCTGCAACCCCAACACAGCAAGTGGAAGCAAGGAGGATCAAGATTTAAGGCCAGCCTGGACTACATTGAACCTTATCCCAAAATACAAAATTAAACAGGGCCAGATGTTGTACTACACATCTTTAATCTCAGTACTCAGGAGGCAGAAGCAGGTTCTGTGAGTTTGAAGCCAGCCTAGTATACACTTTCAAATTCCAGGTCAGTCAAGGCTATACAATGAGATCTTGTCTCAGAATGAAAAAAATAAAGACTGTGGGATGGCTGGAGAGATGGCTCCAAGGTTAAGAGCACTTCCAGAGGTCCTGAGTTCAATTCCCAGCAACCACATGGAGACTCACAACCATCTGTAATGAGATCTGGTGCCCTCTTCTGGCCTGCAGGCATACATGCAGACAGAACACTGCATATATAATAAATAAATAAATCTTAAAATAATAATAATAATAATAATAATAATAATAATAATAATAATAATAATAATAATAATAAAAGACTGTGGGTAGAAACTATAGGGAGACAAACTTGAGGGTTTGTTGTTGTTTCTTATTTGGTTTGGGTTTTTTTTTGGTTGTTTGTTTTACAATATTATTTTAAGATGTGTTACATTTGTTTATGCTGTGGACCATTTGTTTAATGATGCAAAGATGTGTTGCATTCTTTTATGTTGCATTTGTTTAACTCTGTGAGGCTGTGTTACTGTGCCTGTCTAAAACACCTGATGGTCTAATAAAGCGCTGAATGGCCTATAGCTAGGTAGAAGAAAGGATGGGTGGGGCTGGCAGGCAGAGAGAATAAATAGAAGGAGAAATCTGGGAGGAAAGGAAGAAAGATCAAGAGAATAAGGAGAGGAGGAGGCTAGGGGCCAGCCACATAGCCAACCACAGAGTAAAAGTGAAAGTAAGATATATAGAGGTAAGAAAAGGAAAAAGCTCAGAAGCAAAAGGTAGATGGGACAATTTAGGTTAAGAAAAGTTGGCAAGAAACAAGCCAAGCTAAGACCCGGCATTTATAATTAAGAATAAACCTCTGTATATGATTTTATTTGGAAGCTGGAAGGGGGGGGGGTTGGCAAAGACCAAAGAGTAAAGGAAACAACAACAGTTGTTTTTTATTTTGTTTTCATGGCTTTGTGGCTTTCCATGGAATCCAATTTCACATATAAAAGACCATCTCCTGGAAAAGGATTCTGCCAATCACTTGCCACGTATTTCTTAAGCCTGACACTAATCAAAGGCTGATGACTACTAAATCAGAACTGCCAGCTAATCTTTTTGGCTGTTGCCAGGCATAGAACACACCTGTAATCCTAGTACTTAGGAGGTGGAGGCTGGAAGATTAGGAGTTCAAGGCCATCCTTAACTACATGAATCCCTACCCCACCTCCCAAAAAATGTTCCACTAAAAAAATAAAATAAAATAAAATAAAAGAATTTTGGCTGTTCAAAGAGTATGCTTAGTATAGAAAGATTCAAATCTCCTAGAATCAAATTATAAAACCACAAAAATCTGCTGATTCTATCAAGTTAAGTTCTAAGATGTGGTGGTTCATGCCTATAATCTCAGCACTTTGGAGGGAGACTGAACCAAGAGGACTACATCAGTTCCAGGATAGCCTGGGTTACACAGTGAGGCCCAGGCCAGCCCAGGCTACAGGGTAGACCCTGTCAACAAACAAAAACAAATTCAAATATTTCAAATTTTAGACTAGAAAATTATTGAGCTATTCCAAGTAATACAAAACTTAAAAAAACATGTAAGTTTAAAAATACATCACTACCAGGATTTCCAAGGCCAATGGAAGCTGCCACATCTGTCTCTAGAGCCTCCAAAAATAATACAAATAAGAAGGAAAAGCATGAGTGTACAGTACCATATAATTAGCAAAACCAGAAAAATGGTGATGCCCAAACCTCAAAATCTCTGTAAGTTAGGAAAAGAGAAAAAACAAACACACAAAAAGGCCAAATCCCAACCACAGACCTTTGGAGAAACAAGAGCAGCCTGAAGGAAAACAGTCCAGAGGAGAGAGGGCAGCCCACAGTCACTCAAAAACCACCATGGGAAGAGAACAACACTCTCTCCAAGTGGGAACTCGGAGAAAAAAGTTCCTATAATAGAAATAAAGGACTTGTTTTTAAATCTTTATTTACTGTGTGCGCATGTGTAAGTGCTATATTTGTGTGTGACATGTGGGTCCTGGGGATTCGAACTCAGGTCCTTATGCTTGTACAGCAAGTGCTCTTCTCTGAGCCATCCTCCCAGGCCTCCAGAAATAAAACTGTAAATTGTAAATGATTTTTTTTAAATCACTCAATAAATAATAGACATTAGTGTTTAGAGTCCTTATCAAGCTGATTATCAAAATCTAAGTGAAATGGGTAATTTCCTGGAGAAACAGAGATTTACTAAACTTGATCCCATTGGAAATAGAATAAGTAATCTAAAAGGAATACAGGAAATTAGGCTGAGGACGTAGATCAGTTGGTAGGGATCTAGCATTTGGAGACCCTGGTTTCAATCCCAAGGACCACAAAAACTGGATACAGTGACGCAAGCCTGTAATCCCAGCACTCAGGTGATGTTGGAATCATCAGGAGTTCAAGCTCATCCTCAGCTACTTAAGAGTTAGAGGCCAGCCTAGGTGGGCTACATTAAACCTGTCTCAAAAAAAAAAAAGGTGGGGGGATGAGGGGAGGGGAGAAAAGGGAAAGAGAGGAAGAGCAAGGAAAGAGGAAAGAACACAGGACAGGGAAGGGCCGGGCAGTGGCCGCTGCGGCACTCACCTTTGATCCCAGCACTCAGGAGGCAGACGCAGGCAGATCTCTGTGAATTTGAGGCCAGTCGGAAATCCTGTCGCAGAGAGATGAGAAAAAGAAAGAAAGAAAAAAAGAAAAAGAAAAGCAAAGAGCACAGAGACAATTGCCAGGCAACAACCCAACCATAAAAGAAAAAAAAAAATTGGATTCAGACTGTGTCACACCAAACTCTACCAAATCTACAAAGATCCTGCCGTCCCAATACTCCAGAAATGGCTGCAGAGCGTTAAAAGTGAAAATCAATCTTCTTTTTATGAGGCAAGTATAAAACTAACCCCCAGGGCTAGTGGGCTAGGGCCCAGTGATAGACAGGCCCCAGTGACTGGGCACTTGACTAGCACAGGCCCAGAATCCCCAGCACCACAGGAAATAATAAAACAACAACAACAAAAAACTTCCACATGATTTCAATGTGTCAAATGAGGCCTAGCTAGTGCAGCCCTAAGTTCAAAAACAGAATAAATTAACATCAAACTTGATGAACATAACCAAAATGGGGGTGGGGGTACAGCAGGGCATGGTGGTACACACCTGTAATGTGGGTACTTAAGAGACAGGGGCAGGAAGATCAGGAGTTCAAAGCTAGCCTTGAGACACACAGTTCAGGCCAGTCTGTGCTGAATCAGACCCTGTCTCAAAAAGTAAATAAATAAATACAAATAAAAACAAAGAAAATATTGAAAAATAACCAACAGGGGCTGGGGAGGTGGCTCAGCAATTAAGAGCACTAGCTGTTCTTCCAGAGGACCCGGGTTCAATTCCCAGCACTCACATGGCTGTTTGTAATTCTAGTTTCAGGGGCTCCACCGCCCTCTTCTGGCCTCTGTGCAGCTGGTGCACAGACACATATGCAAGCAAGACAGCCACCCACGTAAAAAGTAAAAATCTTTAAGTTTTGTTTTGCTTTGAGACAAGGTTTCTCTGTGTAGCCCTGGCTGTCCTGGAACTCACTCTGTAGCCCAGGCTGGCCTCAAACTCACAGAGATCCGCCTGGCTCTGCCTCCTGAGTGCTGAGATTAAAGGCATGCACCACTACCAGTTAGCAAATTTTTTTTTTAATTTTTAAAGAAAAGTAAACAACAAACTCATGAGGGGCTTTGGAGCCAGAAAATGGTATTTGTGGGATAAATTAGTGAAATTAGGAGTACGCCCGCAGATTGGGTAACATGTTAACATTAACTAATTTTTTTCTTGAAGTAGGGAAAGAATGGGGTTTTGCTATGGTGTCCAGGCTGGCTTTGGAGACCTGGACTCAAGCAATTCCCCTACAACAGCTCAGACACAGACATCGATATACTTGACTTGATATTAATTCGGGTTTTTTTTCTTTTTTCTTTCTTTCTTTTTTTTTTTTTTTTTTTTTTGGTTTATGAAGACAGTGTTTCTCTGTCAAACAGTTCTAGCTGTCCTGGAACTCACTCTATAGAACAAGTTGGCCTCGAACTCCTGAGTGCTGGGATTAAAGGTATGCAACACCACGGCCCGGCTGATGTTAATTTCTTGATTTTGATTTTTATAATTTAGCTGTGAAAGTTTGTAATTTACTCTTTTTTTTTCTTTAGACAAGGTCTCACTATGCAGCCCTAGCTAGTCTAGAACTCACTATGCAGATCAGGCTGGCCTTGAACTCACAGATATCCTTCTACCTGGGCTGGGATTAAAGTGGCCTGCTCTCAAACATTTAAGTTACATAATAACATAGATAAAAGATACTAAAAAAAAAAAGGATAGCAAAATATAAATGATCTAGGAAAAAGATACTAGGAATTTTTTGTACTATTTTGTGCCACAGTATCATGAAGTCTGAAATTATTTCAAAACAAATGTGAAAACTACCAGGCAGTGGTGGTGCACACCTTTAGGCCAGCCTGGTCTACAGAGCAAAGTTCCAGGACAGCTAGGACTACATAGAGAAACCCAGTCTCAAAATAAAATAAAAAAATAAATAAAAAAAAAAAAAAAAAAAGGAGCCGGGCGGTGGTGGCGCACGCCTTTAATCCCTGCACTCGGGGAGGCAGAGCCAGGCGGATCTCTGTGAGTTCGAGGCCAGCCTGGGCTACCAAGTGAGTTCCAGGAGAGGCGCAAAGCTACACAGAGAAACCCTGTCTCGAAAAACCAAAAAAAAAAAAAAAAAGGAAAAGGAAAAAAGTGAAAACCGCTAGGGCAACAAAACTTCCTAAGTCCCTAAGTCTAAAAGCGAATCATACTATCTTTCAAAACTGATAATCTCTCAACTGACAACCATGAACAATTTCAATTTTTAAATTACTGGGCCAGGGAGAGGACTCTGTGGGTGTAAGAGCTTGCCACACAAGCCTCATGACCTGGGTTTGATACACAGAACCTAGTTAAAAATGCAGATGCAAGCCGGGCAGTGGTGGCACACGCCTTTAATCCCAGCACTCGGGGAGGCAGAGGCAGGCGAATCTCTGTGAGTTCGAGGCCAGCCTGGTCTTCAGAGCGAGTTCCAGGAAAGGTGCAAAGCTACACAGAGAAACCCTGTCTTGAAAAACCAAAAAAAAAAAAAAAAAAAAATGCAGATGCAGAAGCAAATATCTGTAACTCACAATGAACCTATGAGAGAGGGAACAGAGGCAGGAGAATCATCTGCATGCCCAAGGACCACTAGCCTGCAGAACACAGCGCAGGGCAGAAGCAGCAGGAAGAGAGACCGTACCTCGACAAGGCAGAGGGTGAGAACCGATGTGCATGGCATGGCACATGAGTGCCCACACTCACGTTCACAGATGCACACAAAGAAGAAGAAACAAACAAAACTGTGATCTAGTCACATCCATTGTCTAGAAAGCAAGGAAACTTAAGTTCTATATGATAGTCAATTTGTTGCAAAACTCCTTATAACTTCATTTGCAAGACAGTTTTTTTAAAAACCACCCAAGCTGATTACTTAACCCAGTGCTCTACTGAGGAATCTTCTACACACAGTGCTTTGATATCAACCACAGAGAAACACCTTCCATATATTGGAAGGTAAAGCCAGGAGATCATTCATGGAAGAGGAATCGCTAGACTCCCATTTCATGTCCACCAGCAACATCTAACAGTTCCAACTTCCTGTACTCTGCCCACCTGTGTTGCCAAGCTTACCATAACTGGAGAGAGAGTATTAGCATGATGGCTTTCGCGTTTTTCTGTTATTATTAAAGACAAGCATGTTTTCATGTTTAAAAAAACAGAACTGAAAGCCAGGCTTGGTGGACTCGATCCCCAGTGCTGTGAAGGAGGAACGCAGAGCCTGTGGGAGCACCCGTAAATACAAACACATGAACAACTAAAAACGACCCTCCTTGCTACACAGTAAGTTACTGGATACACCAGGATCTCTCTCCACTTCCCAATGAGATGTTAAGCTCTCATCTGTGACATTATCAAAGAACCTCAAAGATATTTCTATTATCTCCCCCGCTAAATTCTAATGTTAAACCTGGCCTCAATGACTGGAAGATGGGGCCTTTGGAGGAAGGCAGTGAACTGAGTGCTCATGTCCCCACCAAAATTCACATGTTGAAATCTAATTCCCAAGGTGCTAGAATTAGTAGGAAGGACCTTCATGAACAGGGTTAGTGTCCTCATAAAAGATCCCCTGGCAGGGCTGGGGGTGTGGCTCAGTTGATAGAGTGCTTGCCTGACATTTATGAAGCCCTGGGTTCAATCCCCAGCACCCATGTCATGGCTGACAACCACCTGTAATTCCAGTTCCAGGGGACCTACCGCCTTCTTCTCATCTCCAAGGGCACCAGGCATGCATGCAATGCACAGACTAACACACAGGTAAAACACCCAGACACAGTAAAAATAAATTAATTAAAGAGAAGCTATTTCATTTACATCTTATATATTCCAGTCTCTTCCACATGTCCTTATCAAAAACCTGTTATTTCTTATTGCACGAATATAACTAGTAATAAACCTGAAAGGTGATGCTGTTGCTATTATTTTGAGGCAGGCTGGTCTGGAACTCACTATGTGGACCAGGATGGCCTTGAACTCAAACAGATTCAACTACCTCTGTGCAGGAATTAAAGGTGTGTGCCAGCAGTGGTTCTCAACCTTCCTAATGCTGCAACCCTTTAATACAGTTCCTTATGTTGTGGTGACCCTCAACCACAAAACTATTTGCAGCCGGGCGGTGGTAGAGCACACCTTTAATCCCAGTACTTGGGAGGCAGAGGCAGGAGGATCTCTGTGTGTTCAAGGCCAGCCTGGACTACAGAGGGAGTTCCAGGACAGGCTCCAAAGTCACACAGAGAAACCCTGCCTCAAAAAAACAAAAAAACAAAAAAAATATTTCGTTACTACTTTGTAACTGTAATTTTGCTACTGTTGTGAATCATAAAAAGCATCCTAATATGCAGGATGCTCTCAGGTGACCCCTGTGAAATGGTCCTGTGACACAAACACACACAAAGGGGTCACAAACCACAGGTTGAGAACCACGGCTCTAAAAGGTGGTTTGTTTGTTTTTTTGTTTTGTTTTGTTTTGTTTTTTTAACATACCATATTTTTCCATATGCTCTTTTCCAGCAGACCCAAACATCTGTGGAGCAATAGGGTGGGCAGACAATCCATACTTATTGATCAAGACATCAAGATGTTTGTCAATTGGATTGGACCGATCTGGAAACTTAAAGAGAAAAAATAAAATTAATGAGCAGCTGATATAAAAGTGTTTCTTGCAACTTACAATATTGCTAGGACATTTGTTTATCCTAGGAGCACAGTAAACAAAACATGGTTCGTCAATAAAATCATCGAGAAATACTTTGTCACAGGAAAACACGAGAAGCTGGGTATGGTGGCACATTCCAACACGCGGGAGGTAGAGGTAGGAGGGTCAAGAGTTTAAAACTAGCATTAGCTACATAGCAAGTTGAAAGAGACCAGAACCCTCTTCCCCGCCGCCCCCCAGGGTACTCTTGAGCAGGGAGAAATGAGAAATATGTAGATAGAAATATAGAGGAGAGAGACAGACAGAAACCCAGGATAGCCTCGGGAGAGCCTGGGTCAAAACCCACCAGCCCCTTCTGTCTCTACTAAAGGGCTCTTAAAGGAATGCCAAGGGGTGGAGCAAAAGACCTCCCCCCAGCACAGCCAAGTGCAGACCATCCCAACCACCTGGTGACCATGCATGTGGTCAAGCCATCCCCTAATGCAGCCCTGCCATGTTAAGTAAGCTCAGATCTCACTAGGAAACTTTTGTGGGCTCCCACAGCAAGTCAGAGGCCAGTTCAGGTCACACGAGACCCTGTCTCAAAAAATATATATACTTCCTTGACTACTATTTTTTTTTCTTTCTCCCAGGTTTTGTTTTTGTTTTGATAAAGGGTCTCTCGACATAGCCCTGGCTCTCCTGGACCTCACTATGTAGACCAGGTTGGCCTAGAACTCACAGAGATCCTCTGCCTCTGCCTCTGCCTCCCCAATGCTGGGATCACTAAGCTTGGCTTACTAATTCTTTTAAGGAATGTTTGCAGGGCCAGGGAGATGGGTTAGCAGGTAGAGGCTCTTCCCACACAGTCTGATGACCTGAGTTGGATCCCTGGCACCTACATGGTAGAACAAGAGAACCAACTCCTGCAAGTTGCCTCTGACTTCAAGCTATGACATGTGAAGACACTCACAAGGACACACACACAAAACAAATATATGTGAATTTAAGTTTTTTTCCTTTGGTTTTAAAAATATTTTGTTATTTTATATGTATGCATGTTTTGGCTGCATGTATGTCTTGTGTACCATGTGTTGCCCCCCAGACGGTTGAGAGCCACCATACAGATGCTGGAAATCAAATGCAGGTCTTCTGGGAGAGCAGGCAGTGCTCCTAACGGCTGATCCATCTCTCCACCCAGTGAATTAAAAAAAAGAAAATGTTTATCAAATATTCGCTATCCACAACTCAAGCAGTAACTATTCAAGACTATTCGGGGAATAAAGGCATGAACATGTCAGCTTAAGATTCTGCTCATTGGGGCTGGAGAGATGGCTCGGAAGTTAAGAGCACTGGCTGCTCCTCCAGAGGTCCTGAGTTCAATTCTCAGCAATGACATGGTGGCTCACAACCATCTGTAATGAGATCTGGTGGCCTGGCTTTGCCTCCTGAGTTATATTCTTTTATCAAATTAAGTCATCAAAATGCTGTGTATAAGCCAAATGTGGTGTCGAATGAATGCCTTTAATCCCAGCACTTGGGAGGCAGAGGATCTCTGAGAGTTCGAGGCCAGCTTGGTCTACAAAGCGAGTTCCAGGACAGCCAGGGCTACACAGAGAAACCCTGTCTCAAAAAACAACAACAACAAAACTGTATATTTTATTCCTATGATACACC